TGTCACTCACCACTTCCAGATGTAGTGCACGAGTAGACATGCATACGAATAGGCATATGTAGCCTTTATATGCACGATGTCCTCTACCTTTTGTTGTCCTTATATTTATAGGTCCTGCATAGTCAACTCCGCTATGCAGAAATGGGCGTGTAGGGATACATCTAACAGTTGGCAATGACCCCATCATTTGGTTCCTGACACTGGCTTGATGTTTGGCGCATATTACGCAATTGCGAACGTAATGTTTGATTAAGCTCCTGGCTCCAAGTATCCAATAAGCTGTTCTTAAATAATTCAGCATGAGCTGCAGGCCTCCATGCAGAGTCTTCATATGAGCATCTGCTACTATTAATTTAGTCATATGACTATCCTTTGGTAAAACTATGGGGTGTTTCGTCTGCTCGTGTAATGGAGCCTTTTCAAGTCTACCACGTACTCTTATTAAGCCTTGATTGTCAATAAAGGGACAGAGCTGTCTAAGTTTACTTGATTTTAACTGTAAATACCCCTTTGTTTGTAATTGTATATATTCTGTTCTAAAAAATTCCTTTTGAGTTTCTCGTAAACAACATTCTAGCGCTGCGTCTATTTCAAATTTCTGTAAATAATTTTTGATTTTGTTTTTTTGTAAAAATCTTCGACAATATGCAACAATTCTTATTAATTTCATTAATGACGAATATCGCTCAAATATACCAGACTCTTTTGGAATTAAAGCAACATGAGTTGTGATGGACTCTTCTAACTCAACGTTCAAATTGTTTGGTCTAGTGTACTGCATTATTTTAGCTGAGAGGAATGTTGGACCCGAAAACCATAAACTGTTATTTATTAATTCCCTTGGTTGCATACCCCTTGATGCACAATCTGCAGGATTGTCATTGGTTCTGACATGGAACCATTGGGAAGCTTTTGTCGTAGTTAAAATCTCAGAAGTGCGGTTTGCTACAAATGTTTTCCATCTGCTGGGGTGACTGTTAAGCCAAGCCAACACAATAGTGGAATCGGTCCAAGCGCTTACTTTATTCTTCGAAATATTGAGGACTTCCGCTGTCTCTGCGAGTAAGTTCGAAAGCAAGACGGCTCCACACAACTCTAAACGCGGTATGCTGACCTGTTTTACAGGAGCTACTCTTGTCTTCGCAACTACCAAAGATACACGTATATTATCCTTTTTATCTTTAATTCGCAAGTAAATAACCGCTGAGTATGCTGTTTTGGAGGCGTCACTAAAACCGTGCAGCTCCATGTCATCGTTGGGTTTAGTACTAAGCCAACGTGGTATGCGGACTCTACTAAGCAATGATAATTCCTCGCGGTAAGTACCCCATTCGTTTATCAATTCTTCGCTTAACTTTTCATCCCAGGTGACACCTGCAAGCCATAACCTTTGGATGAATGTTTTTGCTAAAATTATGCTAGGGGCTAACCACCCTAACGGATCAAATAATCTAGCTATATCTGAAATAATTGTTCTTTTAGTTACAGGTGCAGTCGTCGGCGGCGGAAGATTTACCGAGTATTGGAATGTATCTTCGCTGCGGTTCCAAGTAAGACCTAATATTTTTATTGTTCTATCTAACTTTATGTCTAACCTTTTGTCCTCATTTTCCTTCTTTTGATCTGTTTGGTTGTTCTCCATTACATCCTCTTGTTGTACTATACTATTTAAAATTTCCTGATTATTACTATTCCATTTTTGCAATATAAATCCACCCTTTAATAATAATTCTTTAAGTTGTTTGTATATTTCCAGTCCTTCTTCTACACTATCACAGCCCGTCATTAAGTCGTCCATATAAAAACAATTTAAGACTTTGTCTGCAGCTAGTGGGTAATTTTTGCCTTCGTCTATGGCTACCTGACGTAACGTTCGGACGGCTTGGTATGGAGCAGATGCTGTCCCAAAGGTAACTGTCATGAGTTCATAATCTTGGATTGCCTTGTTTGAGTTTTCACGCCATAGTATTCTTTGATACATAGTGTCTTCCTCAGCAACCTTGACTTGCCGATACATTTTAACAATATCGGCTACAAGTCCAATTGGGTGTAATCTCCATTTCATAACCGTGTGTCGTAAATCAGCTTGTAATGTTGGGCCAACCATCAATGTGTCATTCAATGATACCCCTTTGCAATTTTTCTCTGAAGCATTGAATACGACACGAACCTTCGTTGTAATCTTGTCGTTCCTTATGACTGCGTGATGTGGTAAGTACACTGCTTCTTGTTTTTTATCATCATAGCCTTTTATTTCCTTCATGTGTCCTAAGTGTAAGTATTCATTTATAACTTCTGTATATTTTTCTTTTAAATGTTGATTCTTTTCTAACCTTTTTTCTAATGCCAGAAATCTTACTTTAGCTATTTCTCGTGAATGTCCAGCTTTACAGAAATTCCTTTCATCCCGAAATGGTAACTTGACAATATACCTACCATCTTTGTCCCTTCGTGTGGTCTCGTCATACAGTGCTTCGCATTTCTTTTCTTCTGGGGTAAGTATTTTCTTTAGACTACTTGTTTCTTCTATTTCCCAAAACTTTCTAAGCATATCGTCTTCTGTTATGTGTGAATGAAATACATTAATATTTTTTATACTGATATTTTTGCTTTCTTTACTTCCAGGCTCAACTGCACCAGACAGGACCCATCCTAACGTAGAACTCTGAGCTATTAGAGTTCCAGAAGGACTTTTCAGTATTCCATCTTTTATGATACGGCTGTAAGCGTCAGCTCCCAATAGAAGATCTATTTTGTTAGGTGTATTAAATCCAGGATCCGCCAGACATAAATTGTTAAAGCAGACGAGATCTCTTAAATTTGAACTTATACTTCGTTCAGGCAGATAGGAAGTGATCTTGCTTAAAACATAAGCATTTAAGGAAAGTTTGAAATCTGCATCGATGCGAGACCTAATATTTAGATGTACCATATGCTTGACTGTGGTTGATCTGTCTTCTCCCAAAACTGAAATAAGACCTGTGACAGGAATCTTTTTCAGATTGAGATATTGCACGGTAGCTTCAGTTATGAAACATGCTTGTGACCCCTGATCGATCAATGCTCTTATAGTATGGTGTTCACCAGTTCTTGACTCGGCCTTTATTAGCGCAGTAGCTAATAAAACCTGTCGAGGCTTCAAAACCTTGCCTGTAGATAAGCATGATACTACCGGACACTTTGTCGTATGATTACTACTATCCTCATTCCTTAGTTGAATGCCTTGGCCTTCATTTTTCATCTCACTGTCGACATGAAGCAGAGAATGGTGTCTTTTTTGACAAATTCTACAGGTAGTATTCTTTTTGCAATTATAAACAGTATGGTTACGTCCCAAACAGTTAAAACATATTTTGTTTTTCGAAACAAAATCACGCCTGGTTTCAATTGACAGATTGGCGAATCTTTTACAAAAACACAGTTTGTGAGGTTCGGAACAGAGTTCACATTTAAGCTGTGATGAAGTTGTAGCTACCATAGCTCGTGGGGTATGTGATGATCTTTTTATGGCTTGATGACCTGAATAAGTTTTTTGATCAAAACATTCCAGGGCACGAAAACGATTTTCAATAAAAAGTTTCATTTGTTCAAAGGTTGGCAAATCATTAATAGAATCGCTGTCATTAACGTTTAATTCCCACTGCTTTCGGGTTTCAGGATCTAATTTTAATTTCATAATGTGTATAACAAAAACATCCCATGACGTCACTCCTAAATTAATGAGCGCATTTAAACAGTCATTAGTTGTATCTAAAAGTTCCTTTAATGATGAACCTGATTCAGTATGGATTCGTTTTTGACCAAATAATCTATTTAAAATACAATTAGTGAGATATTTCTTATTACTGTAACGCTTCTCTAATTGTTCCCAACACTGAACGTAATTGGCTTCAGTGATAGGAATGTGTCGTATCAACTGTTCTGCCTCTCCGGTAACATGACTTTTTAGATAATGCAATTTTTGGACATTGTCTAATGAATAATTTTTATGGACTAATGACACAAAAAGATCATGAAAGGTTGTCCAGTCTGCGTAACTACCGTTGAACATAGGAATGGCGATTTTGGGTAGTTTACCCGACGAATTTGACAATTTATTAAAAGAAGACCCTTCACTATTTTGTACTGTAACTCTTATTTTATTTAGTGCCGTCTTCATTAATGTTTTATAAGAGATATAATCGTCTTCTGCATTATCATATATGTCAATATATTTTTGGTCAATTTCATGTGCTTTAAAAGTTTCATATAATTTAGTGTTGGTGTCTTTAAATGACGCCCAATCCTTTTCTAATAATTCTTGTCGAGTTTCTATGTATTCTACAGTTAATCTATCCTTTGGGGTTTTCTTAAAGTTTACTAAACCTTTATTGATCCTATTTTGAAAACCCTTCATAACACTAATTAAACCTTCCATGTTGAGTAAAAACCTTCTAAATTATTACAACTTTAAAATGTATATAAATTAAAACTAAATCTTACTAAAACTATCTAATCCAAAATAAACTATTGTATTCAATTTATCACAAATCGACTGTTTTCTAATTACTATTAAATCTAACTAAATACAACTGTTATAATGTTCTTTAAATATTTGAAGTCCAAACTAATTACTTCTAAATATTTTACAAGAGTTTTAACACTAATGCTATAAAGTCTAGTCGAAATCGGGCATAGGTTCCCCGTTCCGTTGTTTTTTTTACAATTATTCTAAGTTCTACACTAACATGCACAATAATCTAATAACTAAAATATTTATAAGTCCCAAATTCTTTCTCAATACTTAAAGATTTAATTTAACTGCAATTAACTAAGTTTCTAAGTTCCATTAATTAAATAACATACGAATCAATTGTACTCACAGTTGCACTTCACTTTAACACTTTCCTGTTTGACTCGAATGTAGCGCCTCCCGTGGCGTTACGACGATAGTTGTGTGACGTCCTCCTGATGACGTCACGTTGAACTGGCCGAGGATGGTCTTCCTCAGTTGAACTGGATTGCAAGTGTCGCCATCAATAGCGTCACGACTCACAACGGCTGAGAGCTTGGACTGTCTATTTAGACACCACAGGCTCCCTCTGCATACTACGAGTACTCTTGCTGCAGCGATCCACTGCGAGTACACGTACAAGGCCGACTCACAAAGCCGAGCTCACCCTATCATGGGCTATCCCGAAGTCCGGCGATCGGAGATCCGAGATCCGGCTCGAAGGACCAATGTTTGGTCTAATGGTTGAACTCACACAAACACACCACTCACTTCAAAAAATGTGTATACCTACGGGGTTATATAATTAAAACCACTCCGTATACTGATCTAGTGAAAGTATATTTGTGATCAACTCACGACAATAGTAAAAACATTGAATGATCTTAAGCTAATCCCTTAGTACACTTAATACCGTGATCTATTTAGCATGTAACGCCATCTAGTTCTCACTCAGGTGAACTATTTATTTTTATTTATATACAGTAAAAGCTCCTTATTCGCGCTTCCTTTATTCGCGTTTTCACTATTCGCGGATTAAAAAAATGCTACCAATTCCTATATTCGCGACTAAAAATTTCTTTATTCGCGGATCTAATAAGTACATACATAATAATAAAATTATTCCAAATAGGTATCCAACACAATATCCTTGTCAAATGGACTAATTAAAAAGTAATATAGATCTTATTACAACTTTACCTAATTACTTTGCGATTTCTTTATGAACATTGATCCGTTTATGGAACGAAGTCTTATTTTTAAGAGGCAAATTGCTAATGCGACTGCTGTGTATCAGTCTGAATTGAAGGAGCTTTTAAAAACTGCCAAGAAAGAAAAAATTACAAAATTCTTCAAACCATTGCCTAAGCCTTAAGATAATTAATTATAATGATCAAATACTTCAATTAAATATTTTTTTATATAAATTTGTTGTTTTTTTTTTGTCACCTAGGAACGTATCCCCTATAATCCCATATAAATAACCATTCCGTATTCACGGTTTCTGTATTCGCGGTATATTTACGGAACATATACCCCGCGAATAAGGAGCTTTTACTGTATTGCATTGAACAATAACATATAACGAAACTGTTACCAAGAAGAGAACTTGTCATTACTTCTCCTGGTGCGTCGTCTGCAGGTAGCATGTCGGCGTGGAGTACATGGCGTACATTTGATGTTTGAAGCCTTCTTCATTGACAAAACTGAAAAATATAATTACATATATTTATGTATATTAATATAAACTCCAAATATTGTAATGTGTGGTTCATTTTAAATTGTATAACATATAACGAAACTGTTACCAAGAAGACAACTTGTCATTACTTCTCCTGGTGCGTCGTCTGCAGGTAGCATGTCGGCGTGGAGTACATGGCGTACATTTGATGTTTGAAGCCTTCTTCATTGACTAAACTGAAAAATATAATTAATATATATATAATAACATATATTTATGTATATTAATATAAACTCCAAATATTGTAATGTGTGGTTCATTTTAAATTGTATAACATATAACGAAACTCTTACAAAGAAGACAACTTGTCATTACTTCTCCCGGTGCGTCGTCTGCAGGTAGCATGTCGGCGTGGAGTACATGGCGTACATTTGATGATTGAAGCCTTCTTCATTGACTAAACTGAAAAATATAATTAATATATATATAATAACATATATTTATGTATATTAATATAAACTCCAAATATTGTAATGTGTGGTTCATTTTAAATTGTATAACATATAACGAAACTGTTACCAAGAAGAGAACTTGTCATTACTTCTCCTGGTGCGTCGTCTGCAGGTAGCATGTCGGCGTGGAGTACATGGCGTACATTTGATGTTTGAAGCCTTCTTCATTGACTAAACTGAAAAATATAATTAATATATATATAATAACATATATTTATGTATATTAATATAAACTCCAAATATTGTAATGTGTGGTTCATTTTAAATTGTATAACATATAACGAAACTCTTACCAAGAAGACAACTTGTCATTACTTCTCCTGGTGCGTCGTCTGTAGGTAGCATGTCGGCGTGGAGTACATTGCGTACATTTGATGTTTGAAGCCTTCTTCATTGACAAAACTGAAAAATATAATTACATATATTTATGGATATTAATATAAACTCCAAATATTGTAATGTGTGGTTCATTTTAAATTGTATAACATATAACGAAACTGTTAACAAGAAGACAACTTGTCATTACTTCTCCTGGTGCGTCGTCTGTAGGTAGCATGTCGGCGTGGAGTACATGGCGTACATTTGATGTTTGAAGCCTTCTTCATTGACAAAACTGAAAAATATAATTACATATATTTATGTATATTAATATAAACTCCAAATATTGTAATGTGTGGTTCATTTTAAATTGTATAACATATAACGAAACTGTTACCAAGAAGAGAACTTGTCATTACTTCTCCTGGTGCTTCGTCTGCAGGTAGCATGTCGGCGTGGAGTACATGGCGTACATTTGATGTTTGAAGCCTTCTTCATTGACTAAACTGAAAAATATAATTAATATATATATAATTACATATATTTATGTATATTAATATAAACTCCAAATATTGTAATGTGTGGTTCATTTTAAATTGTATAACATATAACGAAACTGTTACCAAGAAGACAACTTGTCATTACTTCTCCTGGTGCGTCGTCTGCAGGTAGCATGTCGGCGTGGAGTACATGGCGTACATTTGATATTTGAAGCCTTCTTCATTGACTAAACTGAAAAAATATAATTAATATATATATAATAACATATATTTATGTATATTAATATAAACTCCAAATATTGTAATGTGTGGTTCATTTTAAATTGTATAACATATAACGAAACTGTTACCAAGAAGAGAACTTGTCATTACTTCTCCTGGTGCGTCGTCTGCAGGTAGCATGTCGGCGTGGAGTACATGGCGTACATTTGATGTTTGAAGCCTTCTTCATTGACTAAACTGAAAAATATAATTAATATATATATAATAACATATATTTATGTATATTAATATAAACTCCAAATATTGTAATGTGTGGTTCATTTTAAATTGTATAACATATAACGAAACTCTTACCAAGAAGACAACTTGTCATTACTTCTCCTGGTGCGTCGTCTGTAGGTAGCATGTCGGCGTGGAGTACATTGCGTACATTTGATGTTTGAAGCCTTCTTCATTGACAAAACTGAAAAATATAATTACATATATTTATGGATATTAATATAAACTCCAAATATTGTAATGTGTGGTTCATTTTAAATTGTATAACATATAACGAAACTGTTAACAAGAAGACAACTTGTCATTACTTCTCCTGGTGCGTCGTCTGTAGGTAGCATGTCGGCGTGGAGTACATGGCGTACATTTGATGTTTGAAGCCTTCTTCATTGACAAAACTGAAAAAATATAATTACATATATTTATGTATATTAATATAAACTCCAAATATTGTAATGTGTGGTTCATTTTAAATTGTATAACATATAACGAAACTGTTACCAAGAAGACAACTTGTCATTACTTCTCCTGGTGCTTCGTCTGCAGGTAGCATGTCGGCGTGGAGTACATGGCGTACATTTGATGTTTGAAGCCTTCTTCATTGACTAAACTGAAAAATATAATTAATATATATATAATAACATATATTTATGTATATTAATATAAACTCCAAATATTGTAATGTGTGGTTCATTTTAAATTGTATAACATATAACGAAACTCTTACCAAGAAGACAACTTGTCATTACTTCTCCCGGTGCGTCGTCTGCAGGTAGCATGTCGGCGTGGAGTACATGGCGTACATTTGATGATTGAAGCCTTCTTCATTGACTAAACTGAAAAATATAATTAATATATATATAATAACATATATTTATGTATATTAATATAAACTCCAAATATTGTAATGTGTGGTTCATTTTAAATTGTATAACATATAACGAAACTGTTACCAAGAAGAGAACTTGTCATTACTTCTCCTGGTGCGTCGTCTGCAGGTAGCATGTCGGCGTGGAGTACATGGCGTACATTTGATGTTTGAAGCCTTCTTCATTGACTAAACTGAAAAATATAATTAATATATATATAATAACATATATTTATGTATATTAATATAAACTCCAAATATTGTAATGTGTGGTTCATTTTAAATTGTATAACATATAACGAAACTCTTACCAAGAAGACAACTTGTCATTACTTCTCCTGGTGCGTCGTCTGTAGGTAGCATGTCGGCGTGGAGTACATTGCGTACATTTGATGTTTGAAGCCTTCTTCATTGACAAAACTGAAAAATATAATTACATATATTTATGGATATTAATATAAACTCCAAATATTGTAATGTGTGGTTCATTTTAAATTGTATAACATATAACGAAACTGTTAACAAGAAGACAACTTGTCATTACTTCTCCTGGTGCGTCGTCTGTAGGTAGCATGTCGGCGTGGAGTACATGGCGTACATTTGATGTTTGAAGCCTTCTTCATTGACAAAACTGAAAAATATAATTACATATATTTATGTATATTAATATAAACTCCAAATATTGTAATGTGTGGTTCATTTTAAATTGTATAACATATAACGAAACTGTTACCAAGAAGAGAACTTGTCATTACTTCTCCTGGTGCTTCGTCTGCAGGTAGCATGTCGGCGTGGAGTACATGGCGTACATTTGATGTTTGAAGCCTTCTTCATTGACTAAACTGAAAAATATAATTAATATATATATAATTACATATATTTATGTATATTAATATAAACTCCAAATATTGTAATGTGTGGTTCATTTTAAATTGTATAACATATAACGAAACTGTTACCAAGAAGACAACTTGTCATTACTTCTCCTGGTGCGTCGTCTGCAGGTAGCATGTCGGCGTGGAGTACATGGCGTACATTTGATATTTGAAGCCTTCTTCATTGACTAAACTGAAAAATATAATTAATATATATATAATAACATATATTTATGTATATTAATATAAACTCCAAATATTGTAATGTGTGGTTCATTTTAAATTGTATAACATATAACGAAACTGTTACCAAGAAGAGAACTTGTCATTACTTCTCCTGGTGCGTCGTCTGCAGGTAGCATGTCGGCGTGGAGTACATGGCGTACATTTGATGTTTGAAGCCTTCTTCATTGACTAAACTGAAAAATATAATTAATATATATATAATAACATATATTTATGTATATTAATATAAACTCCAAATATTGTAATGTGT